CAGACCAGCAAAAGCTGTTTGAAGATATAAAGTAGAGATTTATGGAATTATTCAAGGTGTGGAGGAAGCGGGTGGAGACAGCAGCACCCAATGAAACTGATGGGGAAATAGATTCGGGGGCTCTGAACCGATCCTTGTGATTTTGGCCTCATGCAAATCCAAGCGATTGTTAGCCAACAAGAGCGGGGGTGGGTGGGTGGGATTTCCACAGGCAGAGAATTTATGTGGTCCTGGATGAGATTGTCAGTTTAGCCATTTTTTATTTGGCTTTTAGTTAGGGTTTGGGGTCAGTTTAGGGAAGAAAACTTGTTTTCGTGTGACAAATCGGTGTCTTGTTCAGAGCCCGACATTCCTAATTTACGCGTTAGCAAGCGCTCTCTATGTTAAAAGAGCAGCCTTGAACCTCAGAAGAATCCTGCCATTTGTGAGATTAGATTGATTTAGATTAGAATTAAATTAGATTCCAGAGCAATCAAGTCACCGGAGGTAGCCTGCCTGGTGAAAAGGGAATTGAATCTCCCCTCAGGATGTATTTGCTTTGCTTGTAACCTGTGGGTGTGAAGTTGAGAGCCAGTTTTACTTCCTATATTAAAGGCAGCCATGCAAAGCGTTTACATACTATGAAATGCTTTATTTTCTGCTAATGAAGCCTTTGTGGTTCATCTCCATTTGTCTTGTCGGTACTGTCCAGTCAAATATCTGTGAGAAAGAGATTCCTATGTTACCTCATAAATAATTACAGCTTTGGTCTGGCAGGTTCCCAAATGAGATAACTTCAGGGATCACATTGCTGACTTGCTACCAGTCCTTTAAGCAAAACTTGTGTCCCCTTTTTGACCTGGTTGTGGGCAGTTGGGGTTCAAATAATCCATTGGAGAGGCCGGAGTGGAGGGCTGGACACTCTTCAGTCCAGTGGGCAGTGGCCCTCAAAGACGACATATAGAGCAGAGGTCCATCAGTGGCTCTTGGTCTAGGGCAAGTGATGAACTGTAGTCATGGTGTTTGGGGGGGCAACAGTGGGAGGGCTTCTAGTGTCCTGGCCCCACTGCTGGACCTCTTGATGGCATCTGGTGTTTTTGGCCACTGTGTGACAGAGTGTTGGACTGGATGGGCCATTGACCCGATCCAACATTGGCTTCTCTTATATTCTTATGTCCCCTCTCTTTCTCTGTCCCCATAGCTGCCACAACTCTTCACTGTTCTCCTGATTGGAAATGTCCTCATGGAACTACTACCTACCCTGTTGAAAACTAAGGTCACTTTCACACGTGCAAAGTGCATTATTTAGTAACTGGGTTTTGCTGTGTGAAATGGCAAAATCCACACGCAAACAGTCACTGAAGTGGATTGGAACGGCATTACTTAGCGTCAGTGTTCCCTCTAGAGTTAGTGTGAGCTAAAGTAAAGGTAAGGGTTTCCCTTGCTCGAAAGCCAGTCAAGTCCGACTCTAGAGGGTGGTGCTCATCTCCGTTTCCAAACCAAAGAGCCAGCGCTGTCTGAAGACTTCTCTGTGGTCGTGTGGCCATCATGACTAAACGCCGAGGCGCATGGAACGCTGTTACCTTCCCGTCAAAACGGTACCTATTTATCTACTTGTAGTTTCTTGCTTTCAAACTGCTAGGTTGGCAGGAGCTGGGGCCAGAGATGGGAGCTCACTCCTTCACATGGCACTCGGGTCTCAAACTGGCAAACTACGGACCTTCCGGTCTGCAGCTCAGCGTCTTAACCTCTGAGCCACCGCGGCCCCATCTAGTGTGAGCTCGCTCAGTTTTTTAGCCTGCAGCTCACACGTTTTTGTCTTCGCTCAGGAAGGATGGCTCCAGAGCATACTAATTTATGCAGCAGCTAAATTGCTCACTCACAACTTTTTAGCCAGCAGCTCTCAAAGTAGAATTGTTGCTCGCAAGACTCCACACATTGCTTAGTATATGCGGAAGTGCCCAGATAGAGTCCCTGTGTGTTTTCTCCAACAGGGCAAAGGATAGCTCCTTGGAACTGTTTTGAATCGACAGAATAGTGCAGAGGGAGAAGAGTTTTAAGTCCTTCCCTTTTCCTCTGTGCTGCAGTGTTCATCCGAATGACTCTGCTCACCCGTCCCATCCTCACCCCTTGTGCAGCGGTTAGTTGGAAAGGGAAGATGGCTTGCATGCGCCAAATGCATATTATTATGAACTGAGGCTGAGGCAGCTCTTAAACACATGATTTCTTTATGCAGCTCGTAACTTAACACAGGACAACATTCATCAAAACCTTCTAACTTTTATACGTTTTGAACTGGCAAAGGCACACCTCTGGAACAGATAATGACCAATGAAAATGCATCGCTTAGGACCAATGGATTTGGTTCCCGCCAAAAGTCAATGTCTCTTCGGATTGGCCTATTTGCAGCATTGAATAGTAACAAGAATGGGCACAGTAATAAGTCCAATGAAAAAAGGAAAAAGAACTGTGACAATCTAGCGCTTGGTAATATATTCATAAATCATAATATACAATAACAGAAAA